TTGCTCATCACTCGTCCCTCTCTGCAACTGGATTCCGGAGTTCAGCTCAGTGTTTACCTGTGCATCTCGGCTTCTGTTTCCAACAGCTACTGGATGAAGGCTGTAGAATGGCATAGAAGGTAGTCATCAATCTCATTATCGGAGAAGGTCATTTAAGGTAGCATCAACAATATTGCTTAGATTGTTAGGTGGTGTCATCATTATAGATATCTGGACATTTCCCCAATTCCAGATTCCTCTTTAAACCTATAATGGCTCCCTCTATTATGAGGTCTCTTTTCTTACTCTCTTCTGTTTCCCCCTGATTCAATCTTCCTGTTCCCTCATGTCCTCTTCTCCCTTCTTCTTCTCCCCTTCTTTTTCTCATAACTCCATCTCCCCTCCCCACATACTCCCGATTAGCTCAGGAGATCTTGTCCCTTTCTCCTTCTCTGGGACACCATGTATGTCCCTTTTAGGGTCTTCCTTGTTTCTTAGCTTCTCTTGTGGTGTGGATTGTAGGCTGGTAATCCTTTGCTCTATGTCTAAACTTCATATATGAGTGAGTTCATACCATGTTTGTCTTTTGATCACTGGATAACCTCACTCAGGATGGTTTCTTCTAGTTCCATCCATTTGCCTGAAGATTTCAAGTTACCATTGCTTTTTTCCTCTGAGTAGTACTCCATTGTGTAAATGTACCACATTCATACCATGTTTGTCTTTTGATCACTGGATAACCTCACTCAGGATGGTTTCTTCTAGTTCCATCCATTTGCCTGAAGATTTCAAGTTACCATTGCTTTTTTCCTCTGAGTAGTACTCCATTGTGTAAATGTACCACATTTCCTTTATCCATTCTTCAGTTGAGGGGCATCTAGGTTGTTTCCAGGTTCTGGCTATTACAAATAATGCTGCTATGAAGATAGTTGAACAGATGTCCTTGCATGAATGTGCATCTTTTGGGTATATGCCTAAGAAAGGAACTGCTAGATCTTGTGGTAGACTGATTCCCATTTTCCTGAGGAACCTCCATACTGATTTCCAAAGTGGCTGTACAAGTTTGCACTCCATCTAGCATTGGAGGAGTGTTCCTCTTTCTCCACATCCTCTCCAGGATAGACTGTCATTGGTGGTTTTGATTTCAGCCATTCAGACAGGAGTAAAATAGTATCTCAGTGTTGTTTGATTTGCATTTCCCTGATGGCTAAGGATGTTGAGCATTTTCTTAAGTATCTTTCAGCCATTTTAGATTCCTCTATTGAGAATCCTCTATTTAGTTCTGGACCCATTTTAAATTAGATTGTTTGGTGTATTGGTGGCTAGCTTCTTGAATTCTTTGTATAGTTTGGAAATCAGCCCTCTGTCAGATGTGGGGTTGGTGAAGAAAGTTTCCCATTCTGTGGGCTGCTGTTTTGTCTTGTTGACTGTGTCCTTTGCCTTACAAAAGCTTCTCAGTTTCAGGAGATCCCATTTATTAAATGTCGATTTCAATGTCTGTGCTACTGATGTTATGTTCAGGAAAGGTGTCCTGTACCAATTCATTCAAGGCTACTTGCCACTGTCTCTTCTAAAAGGTTCAATGTGGCTGGGTTTATGTTGAGTTCTTAAATCCATTTGGACTAAAGTTTTGTGCATGGGGATAGATATGGATCTATTTGCCATCTTCTACATGCCAGCATCCAGTTATGCCAGCAGCATATGTTGAAGAAGCTTTCCTTTTTCCACTGCACAATTCTAGCTTCTTTGTCAAAAATCAGGTGTTCGTAAGCCTTTGGGTCCATATCAGTGTTTTCAATTGGATTCCATTAGTCTACTTTTATAGAACTATAGTTCTATAATAGAGCTTGAAGTCAGGGATGGTGATGCCTCCAGAAATTCCTTTATTGTATAGGGTAGTTTTGGCTATCTAGGGTCTTTTATTTTTTCATATAAAGTTGAGTATTGAGTATTGTTCTTTCAAGGTCTGTGAAGAATTGTGCTGGGATTTTGATGGGGATTGCATTGAATCTATAGATTGCATTTGGCAAGATTGCCATTTTTATTATGTTGATCCTACCTATCCAAGATGATGGGAGATCTTTCCATTTTCTGGTATCTTCTTTAATTTCTTTCTGTAAAGACTCAAAGTTCTTGATATACAGGTCTTTCACTTGTTTGGTTAGCATTGCCTCAAGGTATTTAATGTTGTCTGTGCTAATTCTAAAGGGTGATGTTTCTCTGATTTCTTTCTTAGCCCATTTATTATCTGTATATAGTAGGGCTACTGATTTTTTTGAGTTAATCTTGTATCCTGCCACATTGCTGAAGGTGTTTATCAGCTTTGAGAGTTCCCTGTTAGAATTTTTTAGGTCACTTATGTAAACAATCATATCATCTGCAAATAGTGAAATTTTGAAACTTCTTCCTTTCCAATTTGTATCCCCTTTGATCTCCTTTGGTTGTCTTATTTCTCTAGCTAGAACTTCAAGTACAATATTGAAGAAATATGGAGAGAGTGGACAGCCTTGTCTTGTTACTGAGTTTAGAGAAATAACACTGAGTTTCTCTCCATTTAGTTTGATGTTGGCTATTTGTTTAATGTATATTGCTTTTATTATGTTTAGGTATATTCCTGTTATCCCTGATCTCTCCAAGACCTTTATCCTGAAGGGGTGTTGGATTTTGTCAAAGGCTTTTTCAGCATCTAGTGAGATGATCATGTTTTTTTTTTTTTCAGTTTGTTTATATGGTGGATTATATTGATGGATTTTTGTATGTTGAACCATCCCCACATCTCTGGGATGAAGTGTACTTGATCATGTTGGATGCTAGCCCTGATGTGTTCTTGGATTCTATTTGCCAGTATTTTATTGAGTATTTCTGCATCAATGTTCATGAGAGATATTGGTCTGTTGTTTTCTTCTTAGTTGTGTCTTTGTGTGCCTTGGGTAACAAGGTTATTAAAGCCTCATAAAAAGAGATTGGCAATGTCTCTTCTGCTTCTATTGTGTGGAAAACTTTGAGGAGAATTGGTATTAGCTGTTCTTTGAATATCTGGTAGAATTCTGCACTGAAACCATCTGGCCCAGAGCATTTCTGGTTGGGAGACTTTTGATGACTGTTTCTAGTTCATTTGGGGTTTAGGTTTATTTGAATTGCTTATCTGTTCTTGATTTAATTTTGGTGGGTGATATCCATCCAGAAAATTGTCCATTTCCTTTAGATTTTCAAAATTTGAGGAATATAGGTTTTCAACGTATTACCAGACGAGTCTCTTGATTTCCTCAGTGTCTGTTGTTATGTCCCCTTTTCATTTCTGATTTTGTTAATTTACATGTTCACTCTCTGCCTTTGGTTAGTTTAGATCAAGGTTTGTTTGTCTATCTTGTTGATTTTCTCGAAGAACCAACTCTTTGTTACATTGATTCTTTGTATTGTTTTCTTTGCTTCTACTTTATTGATTTTAGCCCTCAATTTGATTATTTCCTAGAAACAAGCTCGTGTAGCTATCCTAATATCTAACAAATTAGACTTCAAACTAAAATCAATCAAAAGAGATGAAGAAGGTCATTTACTATTCATCAAAGGAAAAAAATCCATCAGGATAGAATCTCAATTCTGAACATTTATTCCCCAAATACAAAGGCACACACATTTGTAAAAGAAACATTACTAAAGCTCAAATCACACATAAAACCTCTCACACTTATAGTGGGAGACTTCAACACCCCACTCTCACTACTAGACAGGACCTCCAGACAGAAACTTAACGAACAAACAAGAGAACTAGCAGAAGTTACGACCCAATTGGTTTTAACAGACATCTGTAGAACATTCCATCCAAACACAAAAGAATATATTTTCTTCTCAGGACCACATGGAACCTCTCTGTAAAATCGACCACATACTTGGCAACTTCGAAACCCAACAGATACAAAAAAAATGGAATAACCACCTGTATCTTATCAGATCACCATCCTTTAAAGTTAGAATTCAACAACACAAATTGTAGAAACCCTACAAACTCATGGAAATTGAACAATGCGTAATTGCACCATTCCTGAGTCAAGGAAGTAATAAAGAAAGAAATTAAAGACTTCCCAGAATTCAATGAGAATGAAGACACAACATACCCAAACTTATGGGACACTCTGAAAGCAGTGCTAGGAGGAAAGTTCATAGCACTAAGTGCCCACATGAAGAAACTGGAAAATAGTCACATGAGAGAATTAACAGCACAACTGAAATCTCTGGAACAAAATCGATTCCATTTCTTTTGCTTAGAGAAGCTATATTCATCCTGGACCTTTTACAGAGAATCATATGCTGAGCCTCAGGAATGTAAAGACCTTTTAAAAGCAGTCAGCAGTTAGAGAGAGAGGGCCGGGTAGTTGATTCCACTAGAAAAGAAGAGATATACAAAAGAGAAGAAAGAGGAGAAAGAAGGCAGAAAGGAGGGAGAACAGGGAGGGAGGCTCATTGAGCCATCCCCATAACCAAATTATTTATGATGTGTAGCAGTCTTCTAAAATTAAAAACCTTCCATCTCAAAGGGTGCTCATTAAGACACAAGATGTTCAGAATGGTTAGGTTAGGTTAGGTAATAAGTGCCAGGGAGTCGGGAGCAGATATTCCAGGGAAATGGAAAGAGAATATATTGTTATAAAGGGTTAAGGGGAAACTAGAATTGGAAGATTAAATGCAGAGGGCGATAGGGGGCAGGGTAGAGATGGGACTTTGGAGAAGTATAGGTAACACTGGATGCCTTTTGAAAAGCAATATCAAAACCTACTACTGTAGAATGTTCCTAAAATACATACATATATAAAAGGAATTTTAATAGTGTTACCATGTAATGGAATGGAGAAAACAATGCCCCAACTTTGGGGATTGTAGGGATCAAACTCAGGCTATCAGCCTTGTACAGCAAGCACTTTAGCTACTGAGCCATCTCACTGGCCTGCATTTCTTTCTTATTGATACCAAGATTTTATGTAATGCAACAGTGCAACATTTTAATTTTTATTTTATTTTTTTCACATGGAAGAGCATGAATGTAGGCCCCCATTACCACAAATTATGCAGTCAGCTTTCCCATATTTGGGGGAAATCCCAGGGTCAGCATGTCCAGAGTGCAATGGATAAGCCTCACCCTGGGAAAACCACCTTCATGATCATGGTATCTCCCCTGCCAGGTAAATATACAACTGTGCAATTTTTGAAGCTGGAACCGTTTGTTATTTATATTTATTCTTACATGTTGCATAATTTTTCATATGTGAGTACTGTGTGACATCTTGATACATGCATACATTATATAGCGATCAAATCATTTTAATTGGTATATAGATCTCCTGAAATACTATCATTTTTGCAGTGATAACAGTCAATGTCTTTTTGAAATGTACACTATTGGTAACTCTAGTCATCTAACAGACTGCTTAATGGCACCATAGAACTTACTTTCCCTTTGATCTATCCCTTCTCATCTACCTCTCTCTTCTACCTTCTCTAGACTCTCATAATGTCTATTCTACTCTCTATGAAATCAGTATATTTAGGTTCTGTGTATGTGGGAAACTGTGTGCTGTTTACCTTCCTCTGCCTGGCTTATTGCTATTAATAAAATGTTTTCCAGTTTCATTTATGTGGCATAAGTTGACAGGAAGTCATCCTTTTCCCAATGAAAATGAAACAAGTGTCAAATGGGGATTTTCACCTCTCATGTTTACTGCAGCATTATTCACAAGTATCCAGATAGGGAATCAACAGAAGTTTCCTGAAATTGGTCCTTCCAGAGTTTTCTTAACAAAATGGGTAAACCCTGTCATCATGACACACACCATGGAATGTCATGAGCTCATCCAGGCAATCCTAAACTACACAGTGAAATCTTGTCTTCGTTAAAACAACTGTTGTCTATGTATACACAGAACACTTGTTCAGCTATGGGAAAGGACTAAATCTTGTTTTGTGGGGACTTCTTGGATCATGTGTGACAGGGTCAATGCAAAATTTCAGATAATAATTGATTCTCATGTTCTTTACTCTCGAGAATTAACTGAATGAGAGGTGGATCGAAGTTTCCCAGAAACGATTCCAGAAGCAACAGCCATGTTCTCACATGTGCATTGGGTAAAATGATGACACAGATACTAACTGGCACATTGTGATTGTAACACACAATTAATCCCAAAGCACATCACAATAACAGGAAGGAAACAAAACAAATGTGAAGGGAAATGTCTGTTTGGTAATTAATAGAACATGACCATTCTTTCCTTGGGCTTAAAAAACATCTTGTTAGCTTTAATCTTCATGTATTTTTTAAGGATGTACTTCCACTGATCTTTCTCTTGTGACTTTCTTTTCCTTGTCCTTCTGTGATAGTTCATATACATACAATAGAAATCAAGGATGTAACATCTTTAGCACTAGAATTTATACAAGCTTTCAATTTATCATTGATTTATTGTATCTTTTGTCAAAGCAAATATTTTCACTTTATATAGAGAAATATGTTTGATTAAAAAAATAACTTCTGGTCCCATTGCCCTGCCAATCTCTTTTCTTACCCTTTGTTTTTCTTCCAGGATTTTATTTTTTATTTGTTTACACTTAGTATTTAACCCATCTTTTTTTGTATTTTTTTACCATGAATGAAGATCCTAATTTTGTTTTCTTCCATATGGATAGCCAGTTGTCCCCAAACCACATATTAAATGTTCCATCCTTTGTCACTGAATTTGAAATACCATTTTTATTATACATTAGCATAGCATATGTGTTGAGTTTATTGCATTTGGTGCATTTTATCCTTCAATTTATCTACAATTTGTTCTTGTGTAATTGGTTCTCTAGTTGTCCAGAGTTGTTTATTGAATATTGGTGCTTTCTCCACTGATTTAAAATGCACTGTATTATCTATGCCATTCATCTTTCAATTTGGGCTCCAGCATCTCCCCCTTTCCTGTTCTCTATCTTGAAATATGTTGCTCTATCTTGTAGACAAGTCATCTCCCTGTGACCCTTTACTCATCTTTATTAAAAAGCAATTGGATATTCTCACATTTATTCTCTCATATGAACTGTAAAGTGTCCTGGCCACCCTCATATCTGCCTCCATATATACAGATACTTAGTATGTACAGAGATATATACACGGTGATGTGACATGCTGAAAGTGCATTGCATGTATAGATGCAGTTCTATAACACTTTCTGTCATATATTACATTTTTAGTGTTTTAATTTTCGTGATTTTGTTCATCTTAGTACTTGGTGTTCTTAGGAATGTGATGGTTTGAATCTGAACTGTCTGTCTCCAGTAGTCTCGGATTTTGAGTGTTTGTTCCACAACTGCTGCACCATACTGAAAGGCTGCGGAGCCTTTAGGAGGCAGGCAGTGGATTCCTAGATTCAAACACACCCAAGTTCTAGCCATTTCTCTGCTGCTCGGTTCTCAGGGATATAAACATCCACTGCCTCATACCCCACGAACTGAGGGTCTACTCTGCTTTCTCATACCGGAGATGCCTCTGAACCCATTATGTTGTTTCTGTCAGATAGATGTAACTAACACAATGAAAGTTTTCTTTAAAAAATGTTATCAAGTAGGTGATAAGTGAAATCAAAGAAAATGATTTTAGCAAATTAATATTGTGCTTTTTGTACTTCTTTCTCTTGAGCTTTTTGAAATGTTTGTGGGTGTTTATCCTGAATGTGTGTCCAAGCACTTTGTGTGAGCCTGGTGCCTGAGGAGGTCAGATCTCTTGGGACTGGAGTTACAGACTCTAGTTGGGAGCCAACATGCAGGTGCTGGGAACTGAGTTCCAGTCTTCTGGAAGACCAGCCAGCGCTCTTATCCAGTGAGTTATTTCTTCTCTCTCTCTCTCTCTCTCTCTCCACATACACACACACAGAGAGAAAGAGACAGAGACAGACAGAGAGAGAGAGACAGAGACAGAGACAAGGAGAATTTTTTAAATGACAGGGCTCTCTGTGTAACTCTGGCTGACATGGAACTTGCTATGCAGATCAAGCTGGGCTCAAAATTGCTGTGATTTCTGGCTCTGCTTCTCAAGTACTGAGATTACAGATTGTACCACCACATCCTACTTCATGATTGACTTATATATTTATATATTCTCAGTGCTTTGATATATAACAATGATATGCCTCATTACACCCTACTTTATGGTTGACTTATATATTTATATCTTCTGAATGCTCTGATATATAATAATGATATACCACACCATACCCTAATTTATGGTTGATTTATGTATTTACATATTCTGAATACTTTGATATATAATAATTATATGTGCCACCACACCCTGGTATGACTGATTTATATATTTACATCTTCTGAATGCTTTGACATATAATAATGATATACCATTATCTGTATTATCTTAATAATATTAGTATCTGTAATAAAAATAAGTAGACAAGGGCTGGAGAGAAGGCTCAGCTTTTAAAGGCTAGGCTCACAACAACAATATAAGTAGATAACTCTATTTTTGTAAATTTTAATGAGAACTCGTTTATTGTTTCCTCATAAAGTATGAAGCTAATGTCTAATTCAATTTAATTTTCTTTAAGTATAAAGGAATTATCTAGGACCAGATTAGGTCTCATTAGAAGTTTTATTTATAATTCTGTTTTAAAGGTTCCTTATAGTGACATCTGTTGAATACTTCCCCATCAAAAATGTACAGAGGTAAACTGTCATCACTATACAGACAAGGCCAACAAAGATACCACACATAGTCAGGGACACAAAAGTGGCATGGAAATGCCATTAAGAAACCTCAGCTGACAAAGATACGAGTCTCCTAAGGAGTTCAACTCTAAGTTACCGAGGAGCATGAGTTTTTCAAGAACAACAAGGTCTAAAGAAGATGCAGGCAAGCAATGCAAAAGCAATAAATGTACATGCAGAAACCATCCAGGAGGTCACTCGTTCTGCCAAGCAAAGGGCAAAGCTCAAACCGAGGCTGATGATGTTGACTCAGCCTCAGGCTTCAGCTCTTGTTCCAGCTCCAACTCCAGCTTGGTACCCAAAGGTCCCAAGACCTTTGTGAAGGCCAAATAGTAACGACCTCTCTGCTAATAAGAAGACAGATGGACTGGTGTGACCTTCCTCCACCCCTAAAACTGTGTGCAGATGGTTGGTGTCCTGTGCTGTTTCTACAAATAAACTTGAAGCAGGACCTGTTTAAAGAAAATATTAAAGCATCTAGTAAAGCATATCTTTCCCTTGACCTGTTATTAAGAATTACTATGCTAAGCTGTTGCTGAGTTTACAGCATAAAATTCTTTAAATATGTTACTGAATTCAATTTTGTAATTTCACATTTAGAAATTCAACATCATTTTTTGCAATTAGTATTAGATAAATAGTTTATATACTCTTTAATCTAATAAGTTTTCTTTGGATGTAGTTCAGCTTCCATAATTAAAAAAAAATTTTTTTTGAGAAAGGCTCTCATTCCGTAGCTCTGGCTAACTTGCAATGTGTTATGTAGACAGAGTCTAGCCTCAAATATACAAAGATCCACCTGCCTCTCCCTCTTGGGTGGGAGGAGCTAGGATTAAAGCTGTGCACCACCATACCTGGTAGGCCCTATACTTTCCATAATAATTTTTATGCTTGCATTATTTTCTAAATACTGATTTAAGATATGCTTTCTTTTCTCTTAGATCCCACAGTTATTTCAGGAGTGTCTTAGATGCTTAATGGTTTGCTTTCTGAGTCACAACCTTTTGCTAATGGATGGTCTTATAATTCTTGCTAAAAAAAAACTAGGTTGATGTCTCTTGTTTTGATGAATGCAGTAAGACCCTTTTGTGAATTAAAATATTTTAAGGGTTGTTAATTATCTACAAAGATTTGAAAAGACAGAACTGTTTTTTGCTGTAGTATTAATGAATGTGTCAGACTGATAACACTAATAGATTAGTCTCTTTATTTGTTCTCCTCCTTTATTTAATTTATCTTCAATTAGGAGAGTTGTATTAAAGTCTTCCTTAATGCTTATGATTTTTTTTACTTTCTCTCTGTTCCAACAACTTTTGTGTTATCTAATTCCTAAATGTTGCTTTATCAATAAAAGACAGATTTCTCAATGTACTTGTATGCTTTTTAAATTTAATTCTACTTTTCCTGGTGTTGAAATGGTGACCTTTTCTTTCTTCC